GGAAATGGCAATGGAGATGCATCTGGACAGGATCTAGCTAGCTTCAGCAGTCCTTGCTAATGAAATCAGTGACACATACAGCTATGTACACAGATATTGTTGGAGTCTGTTTCAGATAGCAAGATGCTTTAATGGAGCCCTTTATAGTTTTTTCTTAACTTTAAGCATAGCTATACAATTAAATAATGAATAAACTAGTCATCAAACATTATATCTACTGGAAAATATTAGCCAAGTAATATCTCCTTGTGGTCAGGGGACAACCTGCAGCTGTAGTCTCATTCCAAAGTCACTTTCCTATTGTAACAAAGTGATCCTGATATTCCTTTCAAAAACACAAATCTGTAGCAGCTGTGGGTAAGCTCCCTGAGGGGGGGTGGGAAACCTGTCCATAAAAATGTTGAGCCAATTATAAATTACAAAAATGTGAAATATAAGGAAAACATATTTTGTGTAAAACTGGTTCCTTTCCATATCAGTGCTCCTTTTCCCTTTTTTTCTCTTTTAAAGTCAGCTCTTGCTAAGACTTTTGTACTGAAAATTGACTGAAATTAAGTAGGCTCCAGGTTATTTAATCATAGAGCTAAAAGGGTTTTCTGTTCACTCTAAGTTTACAGTTTGGGGGCTCTTGTTTCTCTTTAGTAAGAGAAACAAGATGTAAAGGTAAGAAATTATTATTGTCCCTTTCTGACATAGTTTAATTTCCTTTATGCATAGATTCGACCAAGGTGCATTGACCCATCACTCATTATTTTAGTGAAGATTGAAAATTAGAGACTCTGAATTGTCAAGAAGGGCATGCCAAGTGCACTGTCACCTCTGACTACCCAGGAGGACAGAGTCTAGAAAAATTGCCCTTTTTCTTTTAATCTATAAAATAATCAGAAATGAGGACTCCAGGTTTTATGACTTTTATTAAATTCTTTGTTCTGGCCATGTTATTGGTCACTCTGGGAATTTTTCTTGTTTTCTTACTCTGTGTATGCATATATACTTGCATACTCATGTGTGTATATGTGCACATGAGAGTGTGTGTGTGTGTGTGTGTGTGTGTGTGTGTGTGTGTGTGAATGATGTGGGTGAGTAAATATATCACATGTATGTGGAGCAGTTAAGTAAACAAAAGATATATGAATAAGGAAGACAGAAGGGAAGGATGCTATTTCAATTTAGGTAGTAACAAAAATAACATGCATTCCTAGAAAGAAAATCTTGTTGTTTTTCTTTAAATGAAAGAATAGTTTTAAATGCCTTACTAATTAAATAAAGTACTTGAGGTATTTTCAATTAATTAATTAATTTGCTGGAGATTAAACCCATGGCCTGAGCATACTAAGCATGCACTCTACCACTTAGCCGCAAACCAGCCCTGATTAGCATATTTAAATCAGGCTTTCATTTTAATATTGTCTCTTTTATAATATTAGCCAATTTTAGAATAATTAATCTGCCTCCGAATGTACTTTTCCCTTCTCTCTAGAGTCTGGGTTATGGGAATACTTGTTCCTGCCTTCAAGGTATTTTCAAGTAGGTGGAGACATAATCAAGCATCAGCCTGTTGCTAACATATGGAAGCATTTACCATAGGCTGGGGACTGGCTCAGATACTCTACCTGAACAATTTAATCTGTAACCACTTGAGAGGTGGATACTGCTGTTATTTGCATTTTAAAATAAAGAAAATGAATCTTAGAGAAGTTTTCTGAAGCTCTCTAAGATACACAGCTGCTGGTAAGTTGGCGGCAGAGACCACTGCATGTGCAGAATGCCCACCTCCAGCCTTTCTTCCTAACACTCAGTGACTCTCCTGCACTCAGAGGTTCCTGTGGCCAGCTGACCACCTTTGCTCCTGTTTTGTCAAATAAGTATATGGGTCAAGGCACTGAAGCTTCATTTGTAACCTTTGTGTACCCATTTGATTTGAAGTCCCTACTGAAAAACTGGGCGGGTATGAGTCTAAGAGTGACAGTCACCAGGGATATCTGTGCCTAGGAGAGGGAGCAGGCCTGGATGACTTCCAGAGTTCCTTCCAGCTCTAAGGTGTTTACAAAGTGTTCTGTACTTTGATCTACATCTATGAATTTTAACTCTTGTGAAAACATCAAATATGTCATGCTTGCTTTGTTGAATAAGGTGAAATAGGAACGACAGGGTTTTGGTCACTGCCTTTTCTAATTTCTTTAATTCTGGAAATGTTTATCAAGCATCTCTTCTGTACGAAGCCCTCCACTGCACCAAACCATCCCATGGAACATGGTCTCCATCTTTTGATGTCTGTCAGCACAACCTCACTTAGAAATCTGATCATCGTTCCTTTTCCCTACCTTCTCTCCCAACTGTTTATGATGAAAGTTAAAAGCTTCAGTGAATAGTAATTAGATAAATACTTGTTCTGAAATTTAGGATTTAGCTGTGATTCACTGATCAGAAAAAAATTCAGGTTTTACTTTTGGACTTTGTTTGCTTTGGATGAAGCATTTATGTTTTAATTATGTCCATTCCTGTGCCAAAAGTTTGTAGTGATTTAAGGAAAACCCTCCTTCTATACAAAGAATAATTGTGAAGGAATTTGTAATTTTACCTGCTTATCCTATAATTGCTTCTCAGGAGTCAAGAACCATGGGAACCTGAAATTAGAACACTGAAATACCCACATTTGACCTTTTCTAACTAGAATAGCTAATGTATAATTTTTGTAGTTATTCTGGATTCCAGTCTTGAGTCAGCAGTCACAAGTGACGGAGTTAGGGGTAACTGGTGGGTTGGGATAACTAGAGACTGCAAATTAGGAAGAGACCTCTGTCTGAGAGCCACTGGACTAACACATGGGAGTCATTGTAAGCATCTCATCACCTCTTTTGCTATTGTAAAGATCATCCATAGAAGGGATTCTTTTCCTGGGTTCTCACAAGTCTCTCCTAGTGTCCTAGGAAACAAGAGGAACAGTAGTACTTCCTTGGGCCCTTCCCACAGGGGGTTCCATTTTCTCAGCACAGAGGATTTTGAAAGTCACATATTTTGGTCCATCCCAGAACCAAGGTCATGCATTTCCCCTTTCGAGTCCTCCTATTTTATCTCTGGGTTTCATGAATGGGGAGGTGTGCTTCTCCTCTTTACCTCTCTAAGGAACCTTAAGAGAGACTTTCTTCCTCATTTCAAATCCTTCAGATACAATTATTTCCCTGAAGTAATCCAAAGATCCTCTCAACTCAGAGCAACTCTTAGAGAGCCACAGAAATATATCATCTGATCAAATTTTATTAGTCTATTCTTAATATTTTGACAAATTTTTGTTACACTCTGAATCCATAAGGAAAGTCATACAACTACATGTTTCCATATTATTTAGTTTACATCCTATTAATTTGTAAACCCAATGGTAATAATTATTCACTTCCTTTATATCCCCCCAAATTCACATAGATCAATTATGTCATTTTTACATTTTGTTTTTAAAAATATGTATTTTTAAAAAGTCTTCTATTTTTCTAGTTTGATGAATATTCTTTTTAAATAAAAAAATATTTTTATACATTTAAAGGTATACTTAGATTTCATGCTATGAAATCTAATTTTCCCTTACTGATGCTATGGAGCTGATGTAGAATACATACAATGTTTCAATAAGTGAAGTATTTTCTCTCTCCTTAAAGTCTGGATTTTGAGAGACTATCAAGTTGGTTAGAGAGTTCATTGCACATCTTAGTGCATTCTTGAATAGTATGTGTGATGATTATCACATATCTAGAAAGGAAATAAAACTGGACTCATGTGACAGCATGAAGAGTAAACAGAATGAAATTGGCATTAACTAAGAAAAGCAACTTTAGCTGGAATATTCAAGTCCAAGCTGCAAAAAGATAAAGTACACATGAAATTTTTTAAGTGTTTAAAAATTATTTTAGGGGCTGGGGCTGGATCTCAGCAGTAGAGCACTCGCTTAGCACGTGCGAGGTGCTGGATTCGATCCTCAGCACCACATAAAAAGAAAGAAAGAAAATAAAGATATAAAAAATTTATTTTAGTAAAACATCATATGACCTATTGGAAAGGGGAAATGCACTACCTTGGTCATGGAATGGGCAAAGATGTGTGACTTCCAAATGTCATATGACCTATTATTTTAGTAAAACGTCATATGACTTATCCTGAAACTTATTTCATTTTGTGTGCTTCAAATCATAGATGCATAGAGTTTCTATTGGAAGCTCAGTCATTTACTCCACCCCGATAGAATCACATTATTGTTAAAGGACTGCTTAGGACTGACCTGTTCTTAACTGAGCCTGATTCTGTCATCCTGATTTGTGCATAGGCATATTCAGTACTATGCTTTCCCTAATTCAGTTTTGTTTTTTATTTAATGATAGATGCTGTCTGTGCCACAGGTATGTTGTTAGGTTTTTTACTCAGAATATCACTTTTTTTTTACTATACTGCATGAGAGAGTTTGTCATTCATGTTTTAAATGCTTGTATAAGATTTTTAACTTTCTCTTATGAAATGTGTTCACCAGTAAGTCCATGATAAATAATCTTTGTGATTTCTGGCTTTTTTTGCTCCATTATACAGTTATTCTACTCACTGCTTTTTGAAAAGGGCTCTTCATTATTTAGAACCAAATGGAATTTATATTATTATTGCTACATAAGTAAATGTTAGATAATCCTCTTATAGATTTTCTATTTTGATGAAATTGCTTAGTATCTAAGTTGTTTCCCTTACTAAATGCACTTGTAACAATTACAGTGATTAAAATTCGACACAACTTGGAAGAATATTTTTTGTTTTGTTTTGGGTCTTTGTGGTGCTGGGGATCAAACCCAGCGCCTCACACATTCTGGGCATACACTCCCCAAGCTACAACCCCAACTTTGAGGGTTTTGTTTTGTTTGGTTTTTTAAAAAAATTATTACATATGTTATATGTGTGTATACACACACACACACACATATATGTATATATGTACATAAATATACACACACTTTTTTTATTTGCAGCTGGTTTTAGAAGAAGTTTTCGTCTTAGCAGAAAAGATAAGAAAACAAATAAATCCATGTATGAATGCAAGAAGAGCGATCAGTATGATACAGCAGACGTACCCACCTATGAAGAAGTGACACCATATCGGCGACAAACTAATGAGAAATACAGACTTGTTGTCTTGGTTGGTAAGTGTTTTTGAATGTAATTCTGCAAAAATGTGCAAAATAATAAACATTTAACTTTGAAATGTATCATAGTTGACATTTACAAGCTAAAAATCCCATCTTGAACAGTCTTTGCTTAGTCTCTAAAATGAAATCTTTTTAGTCTTTCATACTTACATGCCATTCAGATACCTTTAAGGCTTCTATGAAGTTTAGTCCTGGCAAGCTGGGGAAGCCTCTCTGGGAAAGGGGATAGCAGACATCACTGCAATGATAGTTGTATCAGAATAACTAAATAATAGAAATGGATATTTTAAAATATAATGCAAGTTTTTTTCTATTCATTTTGAGCAGTCACCATGGTAGAAGGTTCTTACCAGTTTTAGAGCTTCAGCAAAACAAATTATTAACACAGAGTTCTAGGGTATTCCAAGCAGGGCTGTCAGTTAATAAAAGTGCCTTGAGGTAGTAAGTACAAGCTGGTCTTTCGCATCTATCTTGTCCAGTTTCACAGACATCCCAGCCTTTTGCTGCTCCACCCCACCTCCACTGTGCGTCTTTAAAAATGTGGTAAGAGCCATGTCAGTTTCCAGGATCCAAGCCAATAATTTTGGAAATGTTTTCAGAATAAAGGATCATGGTGTCTCTTGTTAATTGGCTTTTTATAAACTCAAAATGACAGTTACAGGGAAGAGAATAAATGGAAATCCAAGGAATTGCCCCATTTCAGTAAGGTGAAGGCCTTTGAAAGGTTACAAAACATTAATTCAAACAAATGGTGGGTGAATCTTGGGAAATGATACAGTTGCTCACTTCAAATGGCACTGGAAGTGATCATTAGCACCATCAGGCATTAACTCCAAGGAAATTCCAGTTTTTCTTTATTAGAATATCCACATCTCCTCACCTGAACCTCCCCATACCACACCTCTGTAAGTATTGATGTTAGGTAGAACTCACAGTGTCTGAGCTTCTAGCCCTGGTAGAGTCACGCTGATGAGTAAGAACATACCATGACTCGTACAGTGCTGGTGGTCATGGATAAATCCTGTGGTCCCTCATTGACCTTATGCCTGTCTCCCTCTCTTTGTCCCCACTGTGGCCCTCCATCACGGCACTGATCCCTGCAGCATCTCTTTTGTTCCCATTGCCTCTCCTCCTCAGCCCAGAGGAGATTCACTGTAATAAATGAGCAGAGATAACACGATAGTGTAACTCTTCATTGCCCTAACATCAAGGTGACCCCCACAGCTAGGCATGTGGTGCAGGTCTGTAATCCCAGCTACTCAAGAGGCTGAGGCAGGAGGATCACAAGTTTGAGGTCAGGTGGGTAACATATCCATATGATTGTCTCAGAATAAAAAAAGTTTGCAGTGTAGCTGAGTGATAAAATGTCCCTGGGTTTAGTCCCCAGCACTGGTGGGAAAAAAATGACCATCACTTCTTGGAGTTATGATTGTGAACTTTGACCTTTCCATAGGAGATCTGATTAAAATAGGAATTTTACCTTTTTATTTTCCTCCCTGTAAGTGCTAACAATTAAAACCCTTTCCTTAGGGGTAAGAATAATAGGTGGATGAGGCTAAACTATAAGTCTGTGTACCCAGGTAATAATGAAAGGAAGTCAATGTCTGAAAAAGATATAGGTGGTTGATGGCTATGGAAAAGAAATAGCCAACCTGTAGACTCTTCCAAAGGAAAAGCGGGTTACAGGATGCAGTCATCTTGTGTGTGGGACTGCTCATTGTGTTCTGCCCCAGGGTACAGATGAATGTAGTTCATCACCCCTCCCTACAGTCCCCTTAGGGTATAAAGAGGAAGGATGCTGTGTTATCAGCTGTCCAACACCAAAACAAAATACTTTGGATAATTATAAAAAGAAAAGCTCATTTTGGCTTGTGGTTTTTGAGTGCCAACATGATTCTTTCTACAAGGAACCTCACATCTGACTTCATGTGGTAGATTGTAGCCAGAACACAGGCACACTGAAAATCTTATGAAAAATTATCCTCAGGCTATGTATATAAAGTGTATATGAAACACCAAGGAAATTCATCTGACCCCATCACTTTGCGCCTGTGGTAAGGCAGCACATCATGACAAGAGCAGGAAGTAGAACAAAACTGCTCACCTCATCATCAGGAAACCAAAGAGAGAGAAGGAGAAAGGAACCAAGGTCCCTCAATTCCCCTGGGGATTGTACACCTCCAGTGACCTAAGGACCTCCCATCATGCCCCAGTTCTCAAAGGTTCTACCTCCCAAAAGCTACCCAGAAGTCCAGACCTTTAACATGTGGACTTTGTGGGGGACATTTAAGATCCTAATCATAGCAAATGCCAAAGGAAAATAAAACTGTTATTGAGCTGCAGTAGGTGCAAGAGTCCTGACCAGGGCTCATTAACTGGGATAAAATACAAGGGGATCACCATCTGAGCTACCAAGCTCAGAAACCCTTGTCCTTGATTTCTCACACCCATTGGCACTGGAATGCCAATAGCAAATACATTAGATCCTCCAATATTGCCTCACAGTCCCTGAGGCTCTGGTTATATTTTTCTGGTACTTTTTTTCCTCTTTTTCAAATTCAATAGTGTCTATTGGTTTATCTCCAGAATCCCCAACTCTTTCCATTATCATCTTGGTATTTAGTCCCCCAAGTCAATTTTCTCCTTTACATATTGATTTCTTTCTATTGTTACATTGCCAATTAATTCCTTTCCATGGTTGCTGTTGGTCTGCCCAGGATTTTATTTTTCCAACAGTTACAATTGTGGTTTATCTTTAGCTCACAGGGCTGAGTTAAACTGATACTTTATTGTTTTGTACTCTAGCTTCAGAGACATCTTGAGGATGGCAACTGTTGGATTTTTTCTTAAGAATTGGTCGCCTTTATCTTATTCTTTGTATGTTGCATATTTTCTATACCTCATATGTTTTTGCATTTTACTGACTGAGAGTGTTGTTATCCCCCACCGCCCCCCAAACACACATACTCACACACACACTCAAAAACATGGGCTGCTTTGTAGGCTGCACCAGTGAATTTCTGAAGCATTCTCCGCTGATTTCCCTGGTCTTTCCCTCTGGTGTCGCTCACACTTGCAGCAGCCCACCTGGGGTGACCCTCTTAGTCACCAAGAAAGGTTAGGTTAGGAAAGGTCAGCTTCCAGTGTCTGCCTTGGGTGTGTTCCCTGCATGTGGCACTTGGGTTAGTCAGAGACGTGCACAGTGATTCACACTGAGTTCATTTCTCAAAGCCTTCATTGTCCTTCTCTGGATTCATGACATTGGTACCCAGCCCAGGTGTGAACCCAGAACCTTTGTGGAGACTGAGCTGCTCTGAGTCTCTTTGTGGAGACTGCCACTGCTCCCCTCTACGACTTTGAGAATGGGTCCTCACCATGTTTAGGCAAAGCCCAAGGTAGGAAGAAAAAGTAAAATAGGAACTGCCCCCCTCTTGAGGGATCACCTGTTACATCAAGTTCCTCTCGTTATCTGGCTGCTTTCATTTACATTTTAGAGTACTAAGGTTATTGTGTTTTATGCTTTATCCAGAGAGTTTGGTTATATTCAGTGGAGAGATAGGTGGGCTCCCCACCACTGTGGCACCAGAACTCCTAAAATTGTAATCTCATAGGCACAACCTGGCCTCTCTCTCTGGTGTACTTCAATCAGCATCCTCAGACTTGAGCAATGAACCCCAGTACTCATGTCTCCCGTTAAGAGTTTATCACAGTGTCATCCCAAATACCTTTGTAGGTTAAAAAAAAATACCCCCAGAAACAGATCAGACTTTCCATTGTTAGCCCCAAGTCGCACAGTAACCTAAGGTATTTTGGCTTCTGCTCTAAATGAATGCTGTTGTCTAGATCGGCAATCGTTGAACTAAAACTCTTCTGGCTGAAACCTTGAGCAAATAAGTTAATTTATTCCTGTGCACTTCAGTTGCCCTATTTACCCTTGCCTTTCAATTCTCTGGGTTCCTGGCACTTGAATTCTGAGCTGAGTATGGACTCTGCTTTTTTGGGAGATGCCAGACCTTTCCAACAGACAAATCATCTCCCTCTTCTCACTAACTTTTTATTTCCAACAGGATCCTAAAGCTTTGTTTTCTATCCTATGGTGTCAGCCCTGCTGCCATGACTACTCTTCCTCTGTCTTCTGCTGGCAGTTCTTAACATGCTGACTGAGCCCCGATCCTCAGTGGAGATGCACTCTTGATCTCCTGGTGGGAGCTTTACCCTCAGGATGTTCCTAAGCCAGAACTAAATGTAGCTTCTCCCAAGGGCACAGTCAGGAAGGGCTCATCTTTCCTTGCCGTGTGTCTCTCCTCCACTCGTGTATCCTCACTCTGCAGATACTTCTGGGCCTTGAGTAAATAGCAATTCAGTTACTTCAGTAACAACCCTATTCTGTCTTTTGTTGCTTTTTACTACTTAGCAGGTTTCTTTACTACTAAGATCTAGCTATACTGTTTCACCACCCTCTCCTGTTTCTGGCTCCTTTCTAACAATCCCCCTGAGTTTTTAAGTTTTAATTAGTTTCTCAAGTGGGGCCTTTCCTTCTCCATGATATGGAATGAATGCCATTAGCTAAAGGCTATGCATATATTATTGCCTTCAGTCCTCAACATGACAGTGTAGTAAATACTTTTATGTACCCATTTTTATAGATGGAGAAATAAAGTACAGAGAGAAGTAATAAGTAATCTGTCCCAGGTCTCACAGTTTTTAAGCTGTGGTGTGATCAGACTCAAGCAGCTGGAGACCAAAATCCACTTTTTTTCTTGTACCAGGTAATTTAGTCAGCTTTTTTGCTGCTGTGACTGAAAGACCCAACTTGAACAACTGTAGAGGAGCAAAGGTTTGTTTAGGGGCTCATGGTTTCAGAGGTTTTAGTTCATAGAAAGTCAGCTCAATTCCTTGGGGCTCAATGTGAGGCAGAACATAGAACATTCTTGCAGAAGACTCTGGTAGAGGGAACTATCTCATGTAATGATGAGAAAGCAGAGAGAGAGATA